TGTAGCAAAAACCTCTCAAAAAAAAACAAAAAAACAAAAAAAAAACAAACAAACAAAAAAAAACACTAGGGCCACTCTGCTGCTTCAGCTGCTTCTTAAATTTTTTTGTGCTACTACTCTTTTCTTTCCTCTTTAGGGGGACCCATACTGTTCCCAACTTGACGCTTCAGGTTCATGCAGCTTGAGTCACTGATACTGCTAATGTCTTGGGGCATGGGTGTTGCAAATAAGCTGTTCTTCAGGGATTTCTTCCTGCTTTAAAAATGTGTCCGTTTAGTATTTGTTTCCACTAATAAAAGTCTGGGAGTTTCTTCATTGCCGGGGTCCAGCCTCGGAGGACCCCGGCGCTTCATCCCTTCAGATATCAAGCCTCTCACAGCCCATACCAACATCTTTAGTTAACATCCTGATTTATGGCTACATTCTGGATGGCCAGATAAGGATGAGGCCAGAAAAAAAAAAGTCCTTATGGTTTTGTCCTACGGCCCTAATACTACTTTTCCTCTGACTGGCATCGATTAGTGCCTCCTTGAATCTTACTCCTGGAGCACTCTTGCTCCTGGAGCACTCTTCTTCCTGGAGCATTCTTCCTCCTGCCACTCTCAGTAACCAGCAGGACTGATCTTTCTCAGCCTTGCCGTTCCTCTTGGTGGAGGCCAGCTCTTAGCCCCTTCTTTCTTGGGTACTTAAATTAGAAGGAAATGCCTTACATCTCTTCTACTTCTGCAGTTTGTTAACGATTTTGCTGGCAACTTTAAAACCTAATTTTTCTGTGTTTAAATTGAACTCTTTGACACTTTTGAGCCTTTTAAACATAATTAATATGAACAATTTTTTTATGGAAAAAGTTTCCCCTCAGAAGGTGCACATTTTATTTCAGAGTTCACCCCTTTGATTTAATAAAGTTCATCAGCTCTCTTCCTGTTTTGAAGCATTCTTCCAACCATCCACACGTTCCCCAAAAGACTCGTAGTGATGTGAAAATAACTTGCTATCTTCAGTAGTTTAATATTTAATGAGCACCTGCTGCATGCAAAGGATAACACCAAGAGTTAGGAAGGATTAAACAAAATAGAAACCTCACAAACTAAGGCTCAAATTTTTGGTTTTAGTCAAACTGTTGTTAATATGAAATCTGGTGATTCTTGAGCCTTTCTGAGTCAAATTTGATAGCAATCAGTGAAATAGTATTATATTGTATACTGGTAGGTAGATTCATAATTACCATATATTTTATATGACCCTATACCACAAGAAAGAGGGAAAAATAATATATATGAAAAACATGTTAAAGTGCCAAGACAGTAGAAGATAAATTGAGATTCTTTAGGCTGTTTAAATAAAAAATAAATCTATGTTGCCATATCCATGTGGATATATACCCCTTCAGTACTCGAGGGAACATATACAGTCTCATTTTAAAGATAGGACATGAAGACGAATAAACTGATAGAAGGCAGTGAGGGAAATCCCCGACTTTCGTGGATCTGTTACCTGTAAATCACCTCCAAACCAAGCAACTGTGAGAGCTCATGTTCCTTTCCCCCTTTGAACCGTTTGAAATATTAATGCAATTCAGTATAGCATAAAGAATAGCTAGTGGGTAAATAGCAGTGGGTTTTGCCTCCTCTGTACCTTTCACTAATTTTCCATGTTTTCCCAGTGTGAAAGCAGAAGAAAACTGTATTTTATGTTAATATATTGAAATCACAAGATGATAATTATACATCTCTGAGTACAAATATCTGAGAGCAACAGTAAACTTTACTTCTCCCTCTAATCAGTGATCATACACCTTTACCAACTAATTCTTCTGGTGTCTAATGTCTACCATCCTGCTCACCCAATCCAGAAACTCAGTTCTGAATTCCAGCCCATTCTAACCACTGATTGGTACTTTTAAATTTTTATGCATCCCTAGAGAAGACCACCGAAATTTAAATTTCAGGCACTATGCTACCATTACTGATCACAAGTAATGTTTTTATGCTCTTACCATATCATTTAAAACTAATGTAACCTTCATCTTGACATTTGAAAAAAGATGGTATAGATGATGGACATAAAAACTAAGGTGACTTGTTTTCTTTTTTTCTTTTAAATTTATTTATTTTACATTCATTCACTGTATATCACTGTAGCATACAAAATGAGTTTTCCCATCCAGAATATGCTGTATATTGGCTCATCAAAAATATTACCATACATGTTATCTTCAACAAATATTTTTCCATTTGTTTCTTACATATTTTACTTTTTAAAATTTTTTTGTTCCCCCTTGGTTCCTTCCCTCTGCCATTTCCCACATTTCCCAACCTCTTCCCATACCGTCTCTAGTATCTACAGTTGCTTTCCATTTTTTTTTTTTTTTGAGAGGTTTTCGCTATAGGGCGCGTGGGCTTGCCAGACAGACAGAGAGAGGCAGAAAGACAGGAAGTGAGAAATCACCCCCCAGGGGGGATGGTCACGCCGCAATCCCTTCTCCTCCATTCTCCTCTCAGGATCTTGGGCACACACACGTGCCCGGTGTGAGTTTTAAGCCACCGGTTCCGGGACACAAACCACGGTCGACTACATGGGAGTCCAGCGACATAGCCATTACGCTAACTGCTGGTTCCCACAAAAGATCTTAATTAAACAAAATACAGCAGGTAGTGGGTTGTTTAAAGTGCTAGATTCTCAGTTTCTTTTTTTTTTTAAATGAACAAATTTTAGGATCTTAAAATCAGATCATTCCTCCTATATTAGACTTACTCTAAAGTAGCATAAACTTCATATTAAGCATTGTGCATAAAACAAAAATTGACTTGAGAGTTCAAGTTGTTCATGCCATACTTATGTGCAAGTAACACGTGTTTGCATCCACTTTATTAAGAACCTATCGTTCCAGTGGCTTGGATAAAATATTTAAAACCGATTATTATGTTGTTGTATCATCTCATCATTATGTTTAGTGGTAGGTTGAAAAATAATTTATTTGGAGGACTAGCAGATGGCATGATGGTTAGGTCACTAGACTCCCATGTAGTTAGCTGTGGTTCCAGTCCTGGACCCAGCAGCTTAAAATTTCCACAGAGAACATGCACATGCATGCCCAGGATCCCAGGAGGAGAGTGAAGGAGAAGGGATTGTGGTGTGGCCATTCCCCCTTGGGGGTGATTTCACACTTTCTGTCTCTCTGTCCCTCCAGCAAGGGTACGATCCTATAGCAAAAATCTCTCTCTTAAAAACTAATAATAAGGGACCAACAGTTGGCATAATGACTATGTCATTTAACTCCCATGTAGTTGAATGCAGTTTGAGTCCCGGACCCAGTGGCTTAAACCCATGCCTGGTGCATGTGCGTGCATGCCCAAGATCCCAAGAGGAGAATGGAGGAGAAGGGATTGCGGCATGGCCATCCCCCTAGGGGGTGATTTCTCGTTTTCTGTCTGTCTCTGTCTCTCTGGCAAGCGCACACGCCCTATAGTAAAAACCTCTCAAAAAATTAATAATAATTTATTTTGCCAAGTCAAAAAATAAAACTATGAATCTCTTCATAAAAATCGTGTGATTGCCAACATAGGCAAAAAGAAAAGTAGAAAATCTGTGTTTTTGTTTTTGTTTTTTTGCCTGAGGATACATACATACATAATAGAAAATGCACATGCATACGGCTGGCAGGTGGCATGGTGGTTAAGGAAGCTGGACTCCCACACGGCCAACTGCAGTTTGAGTGCTGGACCTGGTGACTTGCTTTCCCACTTTCCATTTCTCTCTCTCACCCTGTCCCTCTCTGATCAAATTTAAATAAATAAATAAATAAACAAATAAATAAATAAATAAAGTTAAATAAAATAATTCTAAGAAAGAAATAGAAAAGAAAAGAAGAGAAAAGAAAAGGAAAGAAAGAAAATGCACATGTATGCACCCCCAGTGCACTTAGTCACACTGAACGGTACTGGACACACACATGGGCACCTGGTGTGTTTTTCAAGTTGCCAGGCTAGGACTTGAACACTTGTCAACCATATGGGATCCAGATTTCTCTACACAGTGCATAATCACTGTCCTACAATAAGGCTGGCCTATAATATTCAGAAAGGATTTTTAAGGAATGTAGATTTGTTGATAGCTTAACATTTTTATGGCTTTTTCCATAAGGTATGTGTGTTCACTTCAGAGAGACAGTGAGTGGGAAAGAGAAATCACCTCCCCAGTGGGGATGGCCACACTTCAATCTCTTCTCCATTTTCTTCCTGGGATTTTGGGCACATACACACATGCACCCATTATGGTTGTTTTTTTTTTTTTTTTTTTTTTACAGAGTTTTTGTTTACGCTTAATTTCCTTTCTGCTACAGGGCACATGTGCTTGCCAGAAAGACAGGGAGAGACAAAGAGACAGAAAGCAAGAAATCACACCCCAAGGGGGATGGCCGTGCCGCAATCTCTTCTCCTCCATTCTCCTCGGGATCTTGGGCACGTGCCCGGCGTGAGTTTAAACCACTGGGTCTGGGACTCGAACTGCCATCGACTACATGGGAGTTCAGCGACATAGCCATTATGCTAACTACTGGTCCCTGCACCCATTATGATTTTTAACCCACCACATCCAAGACTCAAAAAGTGGTTGGCCATGTGGTTGTCCAGTGTCTTAACCACTGCACCACCTGCTGGCCCCTCTTTCTATGTTTTTCTTACTAATACTATTGCGAACTATTATTGATTTGTATAGCCATTTCTATTAATTTGTGTCAAGATAAGATTGAAAGTGGGTTCCATTTCAAAAAATTATATAATATAGACATTAAGTGTTAAGTGAACTATTCAAGAGAAATGTTTAGTCTTTCTTTCTCAGACTCTTAAATAAAGAAAATTAAATGAAAATAAAATTAAATAGTAAATCTTTGTTATAATTAAATTGTCAAATTCTATTTATAGTTTACAAGTTAGAAGTTTATAGTTTTATTCAATTGATTTTTAAAAAGTGGTAATGTGCTACATTTCTGTTTCTGACAGGAACTAATTCCAGAGTTCTACTACCTACCAGAGATGTTTGTCAACAGTAATGGTTATAATCTCGGAGTCCGAGAAGATGAAGTAGTGGTGAATGATGTTGATCTTCCTCCATGGGCAAAAAAACCCGAAGACTTCGTACGGATCAATAGGATGGTATGAGAGATTTTGTTTTTGCTTGAGAAGTCACAGAAAGTCAACATATTCTGTAGTCTCGCTTTCGTTTCTCATCATTACAAATTGCCACTTAACATCTATAAATAAAGGGTTAAAAATGTAAGGAAAGAAAAGCATTTTACTTTTGTCTTTTGGCAGCATTCCTTATTGTAAAAGTGGATTTTTCTTCCATGAAGACTAATAAAGAAATGGTAATTCAGTTATATTTGCTCCCTTAGGAGAAGGCAATCAGATGAGCATCTGTTGACTAATATAGCTTACTCTAAAGTGCTTAAAATAAATGTCCATCTCTTATTTTTTGTCTACTCACTAACTCTGCACACTTTTTTTCACTCATTCAGAATATTCAAAACAAAAACTTACATTTAGTACATATTTATATATAGGAAAATTAAACTGTAAAGTATATATTATGTAAAATACTTTAAGAGAACACCCATGTCATAAACATTCTTAGAATAAAATAAAGTTGCAGGATACCAAATTAATATCCAGAAATCTATAGCATCATTTCTATATATGAACAACAGGCAGACTGAGATAGAACTGAAAAAAGTTGTTCCATTTACCATAGCCACAAAAAGTATAAGATACTTAGGGATAAATCTAACAAAAGAAGCTAAAGACCTCCACAAGGAAGACTATGAGAAGACAAAAGAAGAAATTGAAAATGACACAAAAAGCTGGAAGGATATCCCAGGTTCCTGGATTGGAAGAATTAATATAATCAAAATGGCAATTCTACCCAAATTAATCCACATATTTAATGCAATGCCAATCAAAGTACCAGACACATTCCTCACAGATCTAGGAAAGAGAAGTCATTACTTTTTAATCTTTCTGACAGATGTCTGGATATGTGTAAGTAGACCTTTGTGTGTGGGAATTTTATAGATTTTAATATATTTTTTACTAATTTTAAGGACATTTAATATCAATGTGGTTATGGTACACAGAAATTAACCACTTTACAAAACAATCTTTCTAGTGCACAATTGTTCTTGGCCAGTTGAGGAATTATATAAATAAGATCAATGACCAAATGTATTTTAACCCTGTTTCGCCTTTTCCCAAGTTTGTCCAACTGTCTCGTAAGTCTGTTTTATTTAAATTTTACAGTGTATTTGAATAGAATCCAAACAGAGTTCATATATCTATAATCTATTTTTGTGTTTTATTGAGATATAATTTACATATCATATAATTCACCCATTTAAAGTTAAAAAAAAAAAAAGAGGTTTTGGTTTATTCACAGAATTGTATAGGCAGCACCATAATCAATTTTAGGATGTTGAATCACTCTATAAAGGAACTATACTCTTCAGAATCCCCCTCTAGTTTCTACAGTTTCTCCATTTTCTTCAACTGAGCCCCCTGTTCAACTACTACTTTCTATGTCTATAGATTTGCCTATTCTGGATATTTTATTTAAACAGAATCATACTCAATATTGTTCCTCTCCCCTGATTTTGTGCCACTGTTTTTTGGACTTCGCTAGCAATCATATGCTCCCTTCCAGTTTGTAATTATATTTTCTGTCTCTAAGAAGTATTTTACTTTTAGTACACTTAATTTAGAAAGTTGTTACTGCTCAAATAGACTTGTGTTTAAAAGCACTGTGTAACCTACAGTCCGGTTGCCCGGCTTTGAGGGCAACTGTCATTGTTATGTCAATCTGTAAACTGGCACTTTTATATATATGAAGGTATTTCATGCTCTTTAAAGAATAGATTACTTATTTAATTTACATTTTTAATCTGAAGGATTTATACTTAGATAATGCATAACCATACTTCTAATCTGAAGGATTTATACTTAGATAATGCATACCCATATTTTTAAAAAAAATATCCGTTTTTAGGATTGGTAATTAATTGCCACACTATCCTTAGTACTTGACTATTGGCTATAATATTAGTGTTGGTCTACCAAATCTACAAATGTGACTGTAGAAGCCTGCTATATGTCTATAACTCTCAGTCATGTCATTCTACTGTACCTCTAGAGCCTAGAATTGTGCCTGAAGTAGTAGGTCAGTAAATATTTGATGAGTAAGTGAATGAATGAATGAATGAAAGAATGAATAAGAGTAGTAATGTTGTTACTGCTATCAGCATCTAGTTTAATTATGTCCTAATAGTCCAACTAAATTAATACCTCACACAGGCAAGCAAAGTAACTAAAAACTGCTGGACCGAGCTCTGTGCGAATAGTAAATACCTCTTAGGTATCAGGCATCAGGCTAGACTTTTAAACATTCATAAGGTATCGACATTTTGCAAGTAAGAAATACGAGGGCCAGAATGTTCCATAATTTACTCGGGCAGTGAAACTAGTAAATGGTAGAGCCCAGATTCTAGTACAGGAAAAATTTTCACTCCCAAGCCATATTATATCCCATATGCCTAAGGCCTCTGAAATGATCTCTTCTTTATGATTTTTTTCTAGATTATTGGAGCTCTAATTTTAGACTTATGTTCACCAGTTAAGTTTCAATTTTCTTCCTTTTTAAAATTATGGAGACTGTTAATGCAGATTACTCACAGATAAACACCAAGTTCACTAAACTTAAATATGCATTACAGAAAAATAATGTAGATAACATGTTTTTGTTGTTTTTTCAATTTGCCAGAGGGTGCCATATTTACTAGAAAGAGAGGAAGAGAAAGCACCAACCATGGGCAACAGTTACATGACAATCTCTTAATCTGTCCCTCCTTTCAGGATTTTGGGCATGCATACAGACACACCCAGCATGTTTTTAAAGCTGCGAGTCCAGGACTCGAACCATGTGGTCAGCCTTGTGGGATCTATTTCTCTTAATTAACTGACCATTGGCTGGCCCAATAATTTTTAAAAATCTACTGGACATTTTACGTTTATTAATTTGCTGTTTTAGTCACCAAATTATAAATGAACTTTGGATCACACCCTGTTTGTTATTTGCAAATTATCTGTGTCTGTCCAGGGATGACCTCCTACTCCTGATTGTGACCCAATGCATGCAATTCAGTTTTCATCAGTGACCTCTCCCATTATTCCTATGATCTCAAAATAGGTTTTTATAAAATCTCTTTAGAATACCTGATTCTCTCCAATTAATCTCATATCATTTGTGTTTTAACAAAAGCATGAACAGATTCTTCATTGAAATGTATAGCCTAAGAAATGATGTAACACCATTGAGATAATATTTTTTAAATATTTATTTTAAATATTTATTTATTTAATTTTATTTATCATTTTATTTTATAAAATTTGGCTCCAGAGCCCACACACTCACCAGAGAGAGAATTGGAGGAGAGAGAGAATGTGAAAATGCAAGCTACCAGGTCCAGGACTCAAACCGTTGTCAGAAATGTGGGAGTCCATTGCCTTAATCACCACACCACCTGCTGACTCCATCTTCTTACTTACTGTTCAAACTTTTTTATATCTTATAAAATGGTGGGGAAACATTAAAACTGATACATTTTAAAATACTTATTAATTGATTAAAATAGTACAATAAACCCACTATATGTTAATATAAATAACATATATTTTAGAAAATAACTATGTTTAAAATTGTTTAGTGCTATTAGAAGAGTGAATTGTTTCACATTTTTGCATGTCTCTTTTTAAATTAATTAATTAATTAATTTTCATTTTATTTTCTTCCATACATTCAATCACATTATTATTTGTCTTACAAAAATGGATATTTCAACAGGTGAACATTTTTCCCTAGTACTATTGATAAAACTACAAAATATCTTCAACAGATTTAAATTCTAAAATATGTTTTCTCCTTTTTTCCCCATCAATTAGAAAGAGAGAGAGAGAAAGATGGATAAGTATTTTTGACATGGTCTTGTCATTGATATCATCCTCTGCCCCTGCCTCCCAGTTAGTTAGAATCACAGTCAAGCACCACTAGACCCAATAACCTGTTTTAGGTTGACCCTGGGCCTCCCATGTGACCCTATAGCCTCACACAGAAGCATCTTACCTCTTGCTCCACTACTGCTGGGTCATTCCTTCTTCTTTAAGAGAGAATAAAATACATGAATGCAAAGTTTGACTACAAAATGATATTTATAATTGCTCATAGTACTTCATAATTGTATTGCACATAAATTCAATGTAACAAATAACTTACTTTTGAGGCTAACATTGCCAGCACAAGAATGGACTTTTGTTCTTATACCATTTAACTGTTATGTCTTGCCTTTTGAAAAGCTGAAGAGCTGCTAAGCAGCTAAAGCTAAAGGATATGCTTTTTAAAAAATGCACCTCACTTTGTAGTACTCTTATAAATGCACACTCATCAGGCCAGGTGTGTACAATGCATGAGGCACTATGAGGATTGCATACAATTTGGTAGAGTTACTGTCCTTCAAAGATTTGCTTTCACGTATTCTAAAGAATTAACTTTTACACGGATTATCAAAAAACATTTTCAGAAATGAAAGGTTCATTTTTATTATAAGTAATGAGTCTACCTTGACCAACAAGGCACTGGAATTGTTCTTTGTTCCAACCAAATTCCCATTGTCTTATCGGAATTAATGACAGGTAAGACTTGCAAACCATGTCTTTACTCTGTGGAATAAAGGCCTTTACACAAAATTCTGTGAATCTGGGAAAATTAAACTGCCTGGTGTTTGTTGCCTGTGTCACCTGGAAACAGCACCAGGTTAATAAATATTTAGATCGCACTTAGAAAATGCCTATTGTATTATGAGCCAGGGAAGTGTGTATTCTGTCTTCTTCTCTTGCATTTTCCTTGAAGAGACCTACAGACAGGAGAGGGAAAGCTGCCTGTGTAGTAGCGGTAGGCTGTCCACAGCAGCCATTCCTGGTTGCTTCAGAATTCGAGCTACAGGACAAACCAGAACTGTAGTATCTGGGAGCAGTCTTAAGCACCAGGGCTGCAAAGACACCTTAGGAGATGGGGCTGTGGCTCCACAGCTGCTCCTCTCTCAATGCTTCCTGCC